TATATATATATATATATATAAATCTAAGATATATATAAATAATAAACATCGATGGAATAGTTTACTAACTCGCGACTTCTAGGAAAACTAATCCATCGTACGGAACAACTAGACGATACCAATAATATCCAAAGTGTACGACGCGCTAAAATAAATTGTTAAGACACTCGACAGTAGTGGAGCAAGAAAATATTTAAAATCTTTTTCCTCTTTCTACATATACTTAGTCTACCGAGAAAAATTTATTTTTCTCAGTTTATCGAATTCAATTTAAAAGACTTTTTCTAATCAGATATTTAACTAACATAAATTGATCGTCTGATTATATTGACCTCTAAATTGTTGTTTTAAATCGTTTAAAGGGAATATCAGCAATATTGTGCAAATAATTTATAAATAAAATTGTATAAAAATATCGAGTATCTCAATCGAGGTAAAAAAAATGAGTTGATTTATTAAAATATTGAGCATCTTAATCGAGATGAAAATTACAAAAAAGTGAGCGAATTTACTAGAGTACTAATAGTATATTTATAATTTCATTGATCAATATTAACACTTAGTAAATTTGCTCACTTTTGTGATTTTCACCTCATTTCAAGATAGAGAGAGAAAAAATCGACCCCCTGGAGATTGTTTAAGATCTTTCAATACAATTCTTGAGATTTTAATCCTTCGCCGCCAACTGGGATCTTTAAATTAAAGGCATCGTCGATTATTTCAAATGTGAATTTTGGTAAATTTAAAGCTATAAAAAAATACATAAAATACAATTCGATTTTATGGAGTAAAAACTAATTATTAAGCATTGACAAGTACTAAAATTTTTGCAAATTTTTATATAATCGTTCGGAACGTTCGGAACAATAAAAAATTTACTATTTTTTGAAGATCCCTGTTACTGACGGAAGAGTATTAAAATTCATGTTGCAGAGGATTAATATTTGTCTTAATTTTTCTGCCGATGCATAATTTTTCATTTTTTCGCAAGATCTTCGCTAAAAATATATAATCAAAAACTAGATAAAATCTATGCAAGACTATCCTTCATTGTTCAATGAGTGTGGATAAAATATTTAAATTATTATAAAGAAATTCCCACAAATATAAAAATTTGTATTGTTATTAATTCGAAATTGGATACCCATACATTGACAGAAGGTCAATAAAATAATACACTATACCGAATTAGAGCTTCAAATTGTTACGCGGAAAATCGTCGCTTCTCTTTCACTTTCTGTTAATTATTTTATCTAGTTGCGTTAGCACTTTTATTTCTAAACGCGCTGAGCTCATCGTTCCCCGAGATCCCTCGTGTAGGATCGCTCGACACAAGACGCCCACGTTACAGCGTCGGCAGATGTTCGATGATTATGGCAATCGTTATGTATATACATCATCAAACAATTTACCTCCTGGATCTTGTAACTGGTGCGGATAGTTTTACGCCTGGTGGTGGTAATCTCATAAGTTTCCTCAATGGTGGGCGCCCCATCGTCGTTGACATTACTGGTAATGACGCCGCCGCCGTCGTCGGCCCTCATTAGAGCGTCCGCTTCGTCCATCGCAACGTTCTCTGTGTCCACTTCCATCGAGGAACAAGAAACGTGCCTCTAGTCAAATCGATCTAAGAAAGTCCCGTAGAGATTTCGCTATGAACGGGAGCTACGAGAAGCGCGACAAATACGAGCCGTCCTGCCTACCGCGCGGTCCACCAGATCGGTCCGATTTCGGTTAGCGCTTGGCGATAAAGTTTTACAGCGCCGCGAGACTATTCCGGGAGTCCAAGTTCCGCGCGGAGCGGCGAGGCTGGCAGTACTAAAGCACCGCGCCGTGGAAACCCGCGCGGCGGACGAGATCCCGCGCGCGTCTTTCGACGGCGAAAATAGAATCCTGTAGTTTCCCGCAGGAAAACCTACCAGTAGCTCGCGCGCGTCATACTGCCATTTTATTACAACATTTGTGGACATTTCAAGTAGCTGAAACTTATATCGAAAGAATTTTGAAAAACATCGAACCGCATCCTCGAGGATAGATAGGATTTTTTAGGACTATGGATTTTGAGGACGAAAATATGGAGTTACTAAAAAAAAAGACTCGAGGAGTTTACCTTTTTCATGTCTATCTATTTTACAGCTTGTAAAATATTAAATATTTAAATTTTGAATGTACAACGATACTATTTAATGTCACATTAAATCCATAATACACTTATTGTTATAAGGCACATGTACTTCGAACATTGTATCCGCGAAGGTGTAATAAAATCTTATTCGATAGAATATAAATCTATAAAAATGTATCTTAACGCTGCAATATGGAATGGCAGTATCGTAATATAACGTCATATTAAATCTTTGAAAATTCGATAAAATATCTAATAATAAATTATACAGTCAATAAATTTGACTTTCCTAAGCTCTTATATTGTGTAGTTATTTTTTCAATGGCACTGTTTCTTTTGAGACTAAATTAATTAATGCATCTTGATGTTTACAATCGATGTATGTACGCACATGAACGTATATGTTTATAAAATATGTTTTGAATTTCATCACCGATGAAATTATTATAAAGATGATTATTATGACTGAGGATTTGTAAGAGCAGAATATTTGAGGATAAAATCTGAGCCGTCTGATGGTTTAGAAACACCGGTATTCATAATTATGCCTGTGATTAAACTCGTCGGTGTCACATCGAATGCTGGATTCCAACATGTTATGCCCTCTGCTGCGATTCTCTTGTCGTTCATATGAGTCATTTCTTGTTCAGATCGCTCCTCAATGATTATCTGATCACCATTGGACATATTTAAGTCTATAGACGTCAGTGGTGCGGCCACATAAAAAGGAACATCGTGATATTTAGCGAGAATTGCAATCTGTAATTAATAGAAATAGTTATGCATAGTGTGTATCGTACACACATAAATATTGGATACGTAGTTTGGAAATATTCGGAATGACTTCCAATCGGAATCTATTCAGAATAATTCCATAATGCCCTGATATCTGAAAGTAAACCAGTTATTTTTGGAGCAATTATTATCTTTTATCGTGATTCTACCTGTAATATTCTGTAATATTTCGAATTAAGATAGTCGGGATTGATAAGTTACCTGATAAGTTCCAATTTTATTTGCGGTGTCACCATTTGCGGCGATCCTGTCTGCGCCTACAACAACAGCGGTAATCTGTTTCGTTTTCATTAACGCTGCGACCATGTCGTCGCAAATTAGAGTTGCTGGTATATTGTCGTGTACCAATTCATAAGCGGTTAAACGTGCGCCTTGATTATATGGTCTGGTCTCGGTACAATAAACGTGCTCTGAAACAAATAGATAAGAAATAGATTGAGAAATGTGTCTTAAAAATAAGGTTTTCTAAAACAAATTATATTTACCGAGCCTTCCCCTTTCGTGAAGAGATCTGATGACGCCTAAAGCTGTGCCATATCCTGCGGTAGCAAGACTTCCGGTATTGCAATGGGTGAGCACTCTGACAGAACTTCCCTCAGGCACATTACGTAGAATTTCGTCTGCTCCAAATTTCCCGATTGCTTTATTATCCTTTATATCGTCCATCAGCATCTTATCTATTCGGTCTATGAATCTATAACATAAGTTTCAAAATAATGTAAATCTGACTGCTCATATCTTTCTCCAAAGATATAAAGTCATAAGTACTCGTCTTTCATCTGGGATAGTGTGAACTCGTCAGAATAACTCAAATAATCTGCTATTTCTGTGAAGAAGTTAGCTGCTTTGTTCATGTTGACTGCAGTGGGACGTGCCGTTACCAGGTAATTCATGTTATCTTTGATAGTCCGAAAAAGAGCCTTTTTGTCATCATAGTTTGGATGTTGAAGAATTTCTACTGCCACACTGAGGCTGCCCACGATAGCTATAGCTGGTGCGCCTCGTACCTGTAGTTATCAAATTATATTTACTGTAAAATATAATCAATTATATGATCTATACTTAAAAATTTCAGGTACATTCATAGCTGCATAACATTTCAGATATTAAATCAACAAAAAAGGAGAAAAAACAGAAAGAAAACGCAAGAGGTAGAATAAATATTCAGGAAATATATAGTTTGAGACTTTTTTTTTAGATGTGAGACTTAATATTATTACAGGTACATTCTGCATGATGCACACTGCATGATGTATTGTTTTATTTTTCGTAGATATTTACTTATGTTTTATTAGATTAATCACAGCTCGTATTTAATTCAGTGAGCCTAATTGGAGAGTTAAATAATTTAATAAATAAAGCAAGATATAAGAACTTTCATGTATGAAAGAAAAATCAAAATAGAATTATAAGAACCAAATATAATTAATGAGCAAAATTATTCATACATTGTTCATACATTGTGTTTTAAATATCAGAAATGCTATGCAAATGGTTTGGTTTTGAGTCATCCTCAGCCCAGGAATTAAACAAAAATAATATATGTTTTATATAAATAATAAATGTTTAATTATCTCTCTCATTCAAACCACAACAAACAAAATAATTTATTTCATTTTTTTTCCTTTTGTGTTGACAATATTATTGATTTACAAAGCGAAAGTTCAGTGTCAACTAAAAATATAGAAAAACCATGTTACATGGTTGATATCACGATTTTGCAAATTCTGTATGTCAGCTTTATAAAGTCTTCTTTTAGTTCAAAGCACTGCGTTCAAATTTATTTTCTAACAATAAGCTTTTATACCTGCATCTTGTTAATGACATTCCATCCATCCTTGACACCTTTGACCTGGATATAACTGGTCGTTGCCGGCAGCAGCGTTTGGTCCAGGATTTCCAGCTTGCCGTCTACCTTGTTCCATTTTATCGCTTGCAGCGTCATCGTGAACTGATGGTAGCGATCTATCCGGTCACGAGGACAATTCACAATGACTCTGGATTTATTGAATGAACGAGTGACAATTGAGAGCTGGCGAACAATTATATTACGCCCAGCGAGCTCTTGCCTCTTGTCCTTCTTCTTTAGGTTAAGGTTAAAAACATTCGAAAACATATCCAACGAGCAGGCGCCATCTGACGAATGAGATTACGTCACGTGTGTTCCATTCCATCCCACTCATCTCCTTCTTCCATCATCCACCCATCTCCATCGCCATCTTCACCCCTTCACAGCCGAAATCGTGTAACGTTATCGCCAAACGCGTTACATAATTCTGATAGTAGCGACAAGCGGTTGTCATCAGCTCATCTGTTTTGAAATTCAAGACAGCTGCGAAGTAATCGAACGCGTACTAAGAATTGCCTTTCGTTTCTGTCCGCGAATTGTCCAGCATTGTTAGAAACGCAAATAAATCCTGATATACGGGAAAATAGGTATTTGTGTCCATAGAATTGTTTACTATCAAAATTATATGGTGACAGATCTCTATTAATTAATTATGTACAGTAAAAGAAGCAGTTTAACAATTATTATAACTTTAATATGATTGATTCTTTTTGTTGTTAATCTCTCACTAAATCTAAGTGTATAAACCAATCATATTAAAGAATTTTATGATAGTTGCAAGACTATTTTTTTGCTGAATACAGCCATTGCCTCTAATTATTTAGTTAAATTTCATTTTGTTATGCAAATTCTTTTAATCATTTATATTATAAATAAAGTTATTAATAATGATAAAATCCTTTTTTTTAAGATGAGTACATAATTAACTTGGCTTTGCCAAGAAAATATAAAGCATAATATATATCCGGATTACATAATCAAAATTTATTTTAATAATTGTTTTGATAGTCATGCGTATCTTCTCTCTATACAGTTATATTACAAGTGTCATTATTAAATTTTCATTAAATTATTATATTATTAATTGAAGTTATTATTGTGTCATTTTGAAGGTTCATCAAATTATTTTGTTATTAATATGACATCGTTAAAGCATTATTAAATATTAAATATTAAATAACATATTATATTTTTCATTTTAAATTAATTTCAGCATAATTAAATTAATATACGTATATATATATTTCAAAAAATAATATCTCGAAATATTTTGAAAGAATTCTTACAAGTTAAAATGTGTCAACAATTGCTCTGACATTGCAAATTGAAATTTTTTTTAGTTAAAGCATCACTTAAAATTACAGGTAAAGAAGATTTTGCTAAAATATTCAAAAATTTAGCTTTGATATAGATTTGAAAATAATTTTATTGAATCATCCAAATAATATATAGGACGTTGATTGCAGAACTTTTTGCAGCATTCCTACGTAATTATATGATTCAACAAAATTGTTTTCAGATGTAGTTAAATTTTTAATACTTCAGCAAAATCATTCTTTCCATGTATTATGTCCAGAATTCATTACAAAATCATCATCAAAAGTATATCGAATAATATTATAATTTTTTTTGTTAAAATGAAACTTCTACTTGATGTCTTGCAGATTTTATTTTGTGTCTTGTGATTTTATTTTGTGTTTTACTTAGGTCGCGTTTGAAAACACTACTCGAATATGTTCAACCATTTTATTCTCGTTTAACAAGATGAACAAGAATAAAATTCTACCTTAATAGATAGAGTTTTTGAACGCAATTTTGAAGGATTCCAGCGAGGTACAGCGTGAAAATATCGCGCGCTCGGAGGAGAGAATGTACTTTTTTCACCCTCGCGTGCGCGAAATCGCCCTAGCATATTTCCAAGGAATCGCGGCAGCGGAACTTTTTTAAAGTGCAAATGTCACGTCGACGGTCTCACGTTTTTCATATCTGAAAGAATCGTACGTTCGGATCTTATGCGATCGCGACTCAGTCCAGACTC